ACTCTGGAAATGATGATGCATACAATGGACTCCGGACTAGGTGCGTCCCTCTAAGTCTTCCTAGCAATATGACCAAGTTGCGAAAACAAGGTCAAAAAACTTCTATACAACTAAAGGAGACTGGGACCACATAAAATGCCACACCATCTTGGTATTTATACCTTCGAATATTGTTGGATCGACCTCGTTTTCGCAAATTGGATGGAGCGTCAGGGGAACCATGTGGAACGTATCCAGTCCTGTGTCCTCTGCCGTAGTATTCGTGACTTATAGCATCGGACCTTTGACTTGATACATTCCCAATTTCTAATTATGAATTACTTATGCTTGACTGAAAAAGTGAAGATTAGAGAGGGCGTTAAGTGTCCAAAAGAAGACAATTCAACTTTCCAGCTGAGTGGTGGATCTAATTGAGTTCACATTCGTTCAATAGACATATCAAGCTCACTAACCACAAAAGCCGTACGAGATTACGTAATTCCTGTTATGATTTGTCTTCGGTCATTCAACCTTACTGACTCAAGACTAACGAATTCGGATTAATGGTTTCGTAACCTGACTTTCACACGTACAGGTATACACATAATCAATCCAACCAGGGTAACGTACGAACTAACGCAATCTCGGCCTTGTCTTTTTCATTGGTTCATTAAGCCTTGATGACCCGCGGCTGACTTTAAGCTTTTTTCTGCTCACTTTGGGTTATGGCCGGTTTTGTTTACAGACGTTAACACACATACACACATGAACACTTGGGCATAGGCGAATCAACCAAATCATTCTATATGCATATATATCTAAATTTTTCTCGCAATGAGAATGTATATCATAGAAAAAAGCTGGTCAGTCTTCTTGACTGAATTTTTCGTTTATGAGCAGAGTTTCGAGACTACCATCATCACCTTAAACGAAATAGGGTGAATGCATATCATATTCTTGCCTTATTATTAACTTGAAGCTTTTGCAGGGAATACGCCCAGCTCTGAAGATGTTATTCACATGACGATCAAAAGTTCATTTCGTCTTTGCCCGAAATGTTGGAGGATGTCTCGTGGACTGATTTAACCTGAACGTCGCGTCAAAGCCAAACAGCTGAAGTACAGCCGACACTTTCTGGTGAGAATGACCCACCAATATGTTATCATGCAATTTCATACGAAATTAACGTCTTCATAGCAATCTTATCTCAGGACATTAGTTGAAACCCAATTACTTTTCGTATCTAAAAGGTGAAATAAACCGGGTAGAAGGGGATAAACGTTATCAGAAGGCTTTCGAGCTAGGGGTTGGCGAGAAATATTGAAACGATTTACTCGAAAGAGGTGTTGACATAGTCCAGGAAACTGTCTGTGCATGGCCATGCCGATTATGCAGGCGACCAGAGGCAGGGAGATACAGACGACCAAAAGGCTACGCCACCAGGGCCAGGCGATTGTGTCGTCCGGGGCCATTGTTGTGAGGATGAGGAGAATGGCGAAGAGGAGGAAGCCGATCAGCAGCCAGACGACTCCCAGTCCGGGCGATCCTCTCGACAGACACGCGACAAGTGGACGTGGTAGACTGCCGACACACTCGTGTCCTAGGTAGCCGGGCGAGCCGATATGGTAGATCCAGTCGTCGGGGTCAGACGGGATGGGTGAGGCCTGGCGTTGTGAACATAAAAAAACAAGGGGATAAAGGCAAGTGGGAGTGAAATGGGTTAGATTGGAATAGCAAACTTGAAAAGTTTAGGAATGGAGGTAGGGTGGGGTAGAACGGAGCCAAGAATGAAGCGGCCTACCAAAGGTATATGCGAAGAAATGTTGGGTTTCGAGGAATCTGTTGTTGCATAATTGTTGAATTTGCTTTCCTGTCGAGTGGAAGGGTTTGGTGATGAGATTTGAAGGTCGATTCCACCAGAAGACGACAGCGGATTTCTCTTGACCAGCTGCCGATTGACTTTACTGGAACATTCATGCTGGCGTTGTTTCCGAGGTAGCCTTCTTCGATTCCGTCATATGAAGAACATCATCAGAGAAAGGTATCATCGTCACAACAAAATTCAAGCTAACGAGTCAAGAGATTACCTCGCACACAGCGTCAGCATGAATCTTTCAGTAAAGCCAATCGAAGCTAATCAAGAGGAATCCGCCGTCGTCTTCTGGTGGAACCGACCTTCGAATCTCTTCACCAAACACTTTCACTCGAATTGAAATTAAACTCAACATTTACTGGAACATTCATGGTGTCGCTGTTTCCGAGGTGATCTCTTTCGATTCCGGCAAAAACGTGCTAAGCTTTTGTCCGTCGTATGATGAGTATGTATACAGCTTTTTAGGGATGAGCCGATGAGTTTTCTTGACTCGTTAGCTTGAATTTGGTTGTGATGATGATACTTTGCTT